CATTTATCAATTGTCTATTTTTTTCTTGCTTTTGGTACAATTTAAATTGTATTTTTTTCGTTGTCCGAGATTTATGGGCAACACATGTATAAAAGCTCAAATCTACATAGATTATTTCAAAACACTAAATTTGACACCTTATAAATCACCAAAAGTCGATATATATAGGGAGTGATAGTTTTTTCTAACTCATATCATATTATAAATTTATTTAATTGATAAATATAGTTATTATTTTTTCAATTAATATTAATTGGTAGTTAGTTTTATTATAAGCATAAAAAAAATAATATTATATTATATATACAAGATAGATATTAAATTGAAACTACCACTTGTTGGAATTAACCTTATGCGAAAACAATTGCTTTATCCCCCGAAGCATTACCGAATAATCAATAATCAAACTAGATAGTAGAAGCATACCTTAAGTGAATCTATGGATCCGATCAGCATGAACGTTATATAGAACATGAACGCGACTTGGATCACAAACATATCATCGATCACGAATAGGGTCGGTTTTATGACATTCCTCAACTATATCTTCTCATGGGCCTTCGCTTTCATTCATTATGGAGAGAGAAGAAAACTATGGATGGTTTAATATATGACTAATTTCATGCATCGTGTATAAAAACCGACAACAAATACAAAGTTATATATTAACGTTTAACTTATAATTGTAGTTTAAGTTAGTCAAGTAATTTATAATTTTAAAAGTCATAATAGGCATGTCCAGAAGTCTAGCCTTACATGACAACTTTGAACCACCAATCGACACATAAGATTACAAGCACCACAGACATATATAGGATTACAGAGCACTATATTGACACGTAGACTTGAAAAACTATGCCTTGATATATAATGAGAGGATCTCATCGATTAGTATTTCATTATTTCTATTTTTATGTTACATAACGTAAATCATGAATTTTCATCTTAAATCCATTTATATTTCCATCTTATTTCTATTTTTAAACTATCTCACTTTTCAAAAAACTTTTTTCTCTTTTTCATTTTAATAGTTTTCGAATGAGACGATATTTATCAAAAATTTCGCATATGAAGCACAATTTTCATTCTAATTGTAACAATTGAAAAGAAAAATAGTGTTCTATTATGTGGATTTACAAATAAAAATTAAAAGTTCAACAATTATTTACTATTTCCTAAAAATCTTATATATTCAACTGTCCATTTTTCCTTGTATATCACCTCCAAATTTAATTAAAGAGATGTCAATATAAAAATTTTAAATAGAAAAATATGGAGAGTCCACAAACAATAGGGTGTATTATACACTATTCGTAGAAGACTTTGTGAGATTCTAAAAATAATGGTGTTTTTAAATTGATTTTATTTTTTTATAAAAAAGTTATGAAGAAATTATATGATATTTTATAAAGTATAAAAAAGTCAAAATTTATTTAATATATATAACTTGAATTTGTCTATATCTTTTAATACTTAGTGAGATTTCAAATACAAAATACATATATGAAATCAAACCAAACCCCAGATCCAGACATAAGAAAATTCCAGCTCCACGCATATGATTTAAAAAAGATCATAAAAAATTTCAAATTTTAAAAAGTTTTATAATGCTACTCAATTACCAAGCAAATACACCTAAGAGTGCATTTTGGATGTGTTTTCATTTGAGAAAATATTTTTGTAGGAGAAAAAAGTTAAAAGAAGTATTAAAATTTTAATATAAAAAGTAGTATATAATTATAATGTAACACGAAATGATAAAACGACAATTGTTAACTAAATATGTAATTCAATGAAGAGTAAATTTATAAATAAATATATAATGATGATTGATTTTTAATTTAAAATTTAAATTAAAAATGTAAAAAATAAGAAAATAGTGTGTTTTTAATTGGTGAATGATTTTTTTTATTAACTTCCAATCCCACCCTAGTTTCCATTGGTTCCATATTCCGTAAGAGGGGTGTGACGAGTCCAAACCTTCTCGTAACTCACTTTTTCTACCCATGGGAGAAGAAAATTTTGAAGAAAACAAAAATCAAATATTAGTAAGGACTAAAGAACCATGAAAGTTTTCTTCCCAAATTTCCGTTCTTGTTTTATTTTGTTTCTCTCTTTCTAGAAAATGAAGAATCAGCTTTATAAATGCTTATTTTAGGAGCTTCAAATCTNAAGATCATCAAATTGTTCAAATGGTGCAAATATACGTCTTGTGTTTGGCAAGTGTTACGGTACCATTCCGTTGGGATTTGTAACCGTTAGATCAACTATTGACGGTTACTTGATGATCTAACGGTTACAATTCCAACGGAATAGTACCGTAACAAGATTGTAGCATTTTCCTATATATATATATATATATATAGATAGATAGATACTTTGGTTAGAAACTAACATACTTTAAACAATCACATACAGAGATATATTGTTATTTAATAGAATAATTATCAATTTTATTCACATAATATTGACGTGTAGGCTGACTCACACACCTACACAATAATTTATGTAGCGCAAAAGTGAAACAACATGACATACAATTGAACATCATTCATCTACTGAAGAAGCAATGAAACAAATCCCAGAACACTTGAAACAACACTTAGGGCATCCACTTCCATATTCATTCATTCAATCACAATTTACACTCTCTCTCATCCACCTCATATCCACATCATCATTTCACTTAACATCTTTCCATTTAAACATTCACCTACATTCATATTCATTTATTCATTCAATAAAGAAAATAAAAATAAATGATTTGGGGGCCCACATCAAATATTTAAAAAAAATAGCTGCAACAATGGACCTTTAAATATTGGGTTAAATATTAAATAAAAAAATAAAAAAATAAAAAAAGGGAGTACTGTCCGTTTAATAGACTGAATGAACGAGGTGGGGGCCACATTAAATGAACGCTTTGCATCCCATTAACGGCATATCCTCCATCTAAATGGGGCCAAAAAACTAGCGTTGCGGATGCCCTTAAAACGTAATCTGATATGTTAAATCAAAATTACAGAAGCAATAGTCAAGACTTATTATACACCCGAGCCACCATGACATTCTTAAAATACGCAACTTCACATTTTCAAACCGAGCACACTTTCACATGTCTACTCGCCCATCACCATCTCCGGCAAACACTTTCTGGTTTCACAATACTCCCTAAACCACAAACATAAACGATAGACTAAGCCCCATACTCATAGCTGACATTATAAAGCTCAACTATTTACTACCTTCCCAGTAGCCAAGGGAAATACAACAAAACATGTTTCCCAATTTCCATTGTACCATTCAATTGCTCTAGAAAGTATTTTTCAATCAACCCTTTAAAACGGGCCCATCCGTGAGTTGAACTCCATGCCCAAATACGGGCCAGGATGAAAACCATTCTGCAAAGCCATTTCTCTTTCCCTCTCCCGAATTAGCCGAGCCTGCAATCTCAAAATCTCTAACCTGATTATCTCTTGCCTCATCTGTTCCTTCTCAAGCTCTCTCTGTATCACACTGACGTGCATTGCATGAGAGTAAGGAACGACATTTTGCTGACGATGATGGCCTTCAAAGTGCAGGTGCTGTCCTGATTCTGGTCTTATATATCCAGCTGAAAAATTTTACAAAGGGCACGTGAAATAAATTAAAATTACCAGAATAGGGAATTGCGTCGGAGCAAAGCGGGTACTTGAGATAATATGTTGTTATGTACAGTGTCTCGTTCAAAATGCAAATTATGGCTCGAAATTTTTATTGTTTCTTTTTCCAGATCATCGACAGTTACTCTACAAATATCCATAGCATAAATGTTCCGCCCAGAAACAAGAATCATAACGAACTTTAACTTCATGACCATATATTTAGAAGTGTGTGCTCGATTTATTGGGACAATTCAACGAAATTCAGGTTTATTTAGTATCATCTAAATGTATGCTTCCAAATCATATGAAGATCAAAGCACATGCTTAATAGAAATGTGTCACTTGGATATTTGAGCTTAAGAAGACAATTTACAAGCTAAAACAATGAACCAAAACCATCCAAAAGAAAGAAAGAACCAAAAAATCAAAATAAAAGGTGTTCAGTTTAGCTCCACGGAAGTGCAGATGCATTTCATCTGGGACAATTCTGCAGAATTGATCTCACACAATAAGCGATACTCACAAAGCTTCAGTTCTTTCACAGTATGGCCAACATTTATAATTTTTTTTTAAATGCACTCTCATACACCACCAACATACTCTGAAAAACCAGTATAAGCAAACACAAAGAACGACGGGTCCAGCCTAACCGCTAAGAGTCACAAGAATTTTTGCATAATAAAACAAATAACTCCGAGAACGTGTAAGAAAGGGAAGAAAATAACCGGCAGAAATTAGAATGTTTGAAGCAAGTCAGAGAAATTGAGAAATCGTACGGTACCTCGGACAGCTTGGTCTGGAAAATATGCGTAATTGCGAGATGGGGCATGATGAGTGAACTCAGGATAATTCGACGCCATTTTGAAATTCCTCTGTGTTTTAGCAAAATCTGTTAATGAAATTTGGAAAATTGAAACAAGGGTTTTGGTTGAAGTGTAGGCTTCACACCTCACAGATTGGAGAGAGCTGGAAACCTGCTGCTATTGGACCGAGTTTGACTTACATAACTAGGCATTTTTTTTAAGGCGTGATTAATGTTATCCAAGTTTCTTCCAACTACTCAACTTTAAATTAAGAGAACTTTGAATTCAATCATATAAATCACTTAAAAAATAGACTCAATTCAATTCACAAAAAATTATATGTCACTTAAAAAATAGACTCAGTCTAAAAAAATTTAAACTCCAATGCAAATATAAGTAGACTAGGTCTTGTTGATGTGACTGCTAGAAAAATAGACCCGGTCTACCTTTAAGTCTATTTTAGACCCAAATAGAGACCTAGTCTTTTTGCATTGGAGTTATTTTGTTAATTTTATATAGTTTCATCCATGTCATCTAAGACTTGAGTTTATTTCTATGTCACATAAGCAAGACTAGACTCAATGCATTGTAGATGCTCTCAATGGTTCACTAATCGTATAGTTGACTCATTTCGATTTTATAATAAAAATATTTCAAATTATATTAAATAGCTTTTTTTCCAAAAAAAAAAAAAAAAGAAAAATTGTGCACCAATCCCGCCAACCGGTTTTTGGCCGGTTCTAACTGGTTCAGTCGGTTGTTGACCAGTTCACTAGCAATCGATTTTTTCAACGAATCGGACCGATCAACAAATCGATTTTCAATCCAACCGGTTCGATCAGATTTTGAAAATAGTGGATTTACGAATTCAGAATTAGAGATTTGTGAAAGAATGTAGGCGATACTTCATATTGGGTATATAGAAAAAACTTTGTTTTCGAGATTCAATAATCAAGATATTCGATCATCAAGTGGGAGCGGTTATTAGAAAATTTATCAACAAAGATCGTGTGGAAATTTTGGTTAGTAGTCCTAAAGTGCTAAATATTTATTGATATATTTGACCACTACTTGAAATTTGATTGTTCTATTTTTATTAAATTCAACTTGTTAGCGTTTTGGTCGAACGAAAATTGACTACTTTAATCAACAAATTAACAACAAACTCTTTCCTTTTGCTCAATTGTTGCATATTTTCTTTTGGAAAATAATTTAGAATTCACAGTTTTGCTATGGAGCCATCGGATGGTTCAGTCATCTACACTTATTCACTAATAGTGTATTGACACGTGTTCTGCAATAAATACAATTTGGACAGGTGTCAATACATTAAGTGGTGGATGACTCCATAAGAAAAACCATTCGTCTCCATAGAATTTTTGTTAGAATTCATTGTTAATTAAATTAGATTATTTTATTTTATTTTAAGGTTCTAAATACCAGGGAAAAAATTATAAATTCGAAATTATCAATTTGTAATTTTGTATACTTTGACGAACTCTATACAACTAATTAATTATCAACCAACGTCAAAACGAGAACAATCAAATACTCTAGAGACTAGAGGGGATAAAAAGGGTAAATAATAATTTGCAACATGTACTATACGCGAATTTGGAGTTTGCAACCAAAAGAATTTTTTGTACTAAATTGCAACCTTTAATACACGATTTGTCTATATCGCAACCTCCGACCGTCGGAGGTCCATTTTTCACCGGAAAAGCAAGCGTGCCACACACACGTACCGAATTTGAGGGTAAAAATGTGATTTCATCTCTCATCATCCTTCCTCTTTATCTCTCTCTCTCTCACACACACACTCCCACATAGTCAAATTCAAGGGCACCGCAGGAACCGCCATCCGCCGTAGTGCCTGGGAAAAGGAGCCCTACTTTGTTGCCGGTGGGGTCTCACGCAGTCAAATTCGACTTCAATCTGGACGAATTTGTCGAAATTATTGCCTCAGATCTGAATAGGAAGAGCAATTGAAATTTCAAGAAATGTGTTCGAAATTTCTCTTTGCTCTGTTCATCTTCTTCCTCGCAGCCCCCATCTACTGTGGCGCTTTTGACCTCGCAGGATGGAAATGAAGAGCTCGTGCTCGTCATTTTTCACGACAATGGCAACAATGCTAACCAGCTTGATCAAAACCCGAGAGCAATTACTAATTCGAGATCGATTTTCAATTTTTCAAAATTAAAAAAAAAAGAAAAAAAAAAGGGATATATTAATTTACTAATCACTCGAATTTGCAGTTGTTTTGCTTGGTCGGAAATCCGACAAGAGAACAACAGCAAGAACAGCACAGAGGACAAGGCCGACCACATCTGGGGAATGTTTTCAGGGGTTTCGGTACAGAGACTATTGCGGAGGTTTTCAAGGTGGGCGAGGAGACTGCAAGGAAGCTTCAGGGGCAAAACGATGAGAGGGGCCATATTGTGACGGGTGATGAGGGACTTCAGGTGATTAGGCCGCCGTCGGAGTACAGTCGCCGTGAAAGGTAGGAGGAGGAGGAGAGGTACTATGGCGGCCTGGAGAGAGTGTGAGAGAGAGAGGATGAAAGAGAAAGGATGAAGAGAGATAAAATGACAGTTTTGCCCTCAAATTCGGTACGTGTGTGTGTCATGCTTGCTTTTTTGGTGAAAAATGAACAGGTTGCCATATAGACAAATCGTGTATTAAAGGTTGCAATTTAGTACAAAAAAATCTTTAGGTTGCAAACCCTAAATTCGCGTATAGTACAAGTTGCAAATTATTATTTACCGGAGATAAAAATCCTATTTTTTATTTAAAAATACCTTCACACACACACACACACCGTCCAAAATGGATGGCGAAAAGGAAAAAGTTGATGACACCGCCATCGAGTCCGCACGATTCGCCGCCGGGGACTGGGCGGAGTTGACTCAGGAGTGTCTCATCAACGTCCTATCCCGCCTCTCCCTGGAGGACCGATGGCGTGGCGCCATGCGCGTCTGCAAGGCGTGGCGTCAGGCCTGCGAGGATCCGTATCTCAACTCGGTGCTCGACCTCGAGTCTCACTTCGACTCGGCTTCCGAGTTGCCTCGCTTCTGGACCGCTGAATTCGAGCGCAGGGTCGATAATATGATCAGATCCGTCGCCGTCTGGGGCGCGGGCAGTCTTACCGAGATCCGCGTTAGGCACTGCTCCGATCGATCGCTCTCGCTGGTCGCTGAAAGGTGCGGTTGTTTGATTGTTTGATTCGGTTTTTTTATGCTTCTGCTCTTTGGATTGGCGGAGTATAATTGAAGATGAAGGTTATTAGTTCGATTTATTTTGTTCTTGTTTCCCTTCATATTTGTTTCGCAATTTGATAATCTGAGACGGATTGTGGACGGTAAAAAAATTCTGGGCCTTTCTGGTTTTCCGATCGGCTGTTCTGTTTTTTTCTTTTCCAAATGGTTTTGAATAGAACCTTTCAATTTCTTCCTCTAATGGTTGTGTGTGATTTTGGCGTTCCTTTGGAAATATTAAAGTTGACTTGAGGGGAATTTGAGATGTTATATTTGATAACTTCTGTTATTTGGTTGTATTCTCTGATTGAGCTGCTTTACTGTTATATCTAAGCTCTGTAACTGTCGTGCTTGTTCGTTGTTTGTGAAATGTTATCTATTCCAAATATGTTCCCTAATGTGTAACTTCTTCAATCTACATACTCGTGGATGCAAATTTTTTACAGTCAGTTTTGAGCCTTGGTAATGCACCTGAAACAGGAGAGGGTATGTTTTTTCAGCTAAGGTTCTTGTAAAGGATGTTAATGTACGTACAATCCTGACCTGCAACACCAACTTCACCTAGTTATTTTTTTAAGTCGAGCCAAGATGCCATATTTTGAAGATTGATTATCCATCTCTATTTCCATTGTTTGCTTTATGCAATGTACATCAACTTTAGGCTAAGCTGACAAATTAAGCTTGAATTTTTGCTGCTAGTTATTATGTTGACTTGCAGTTAGAGGGTCTCTTCTTTCTTCCCCTTTCTTTTCTAACTCCGTGACTTTTTTATATATATAAATGCTGCTTCCCGGCAGTGGGGGATACATTAATTATGATATGTTTAACTAGCTTCTGCTTAATCGTTTCATTTTTTTTTTCTAGTACTCTTTTGGTGCTGACTATTTATCTGTTATCAACATGTTTTTTTTATCAACTCTTGATCTATTCTTTGCATAGGTGCCCAAATCTTAAAGTTCTTTCCATAAAGAGCAGCCCTCACGTCACAGATGCAATTATGACCAATATAGCTTCCGGGTGCCCCAAGCTTAGGGAAGTCGACACCAGCTACTCTTACGAAATATCCCACAAATCTATAGCTCTCATAGGATCTCACTGTCCTGATCTGACAATACTAAAGCGTAATCTAATGAACTGGTTGGACCCTTCAGAACATATGAGAATTGTACCTGCTGAGTACCTTGATGCCTGTCCTCAAGATGGAGATTCTGAAGCTGCTGCCATTGCAAAATATATGCCTAATCTTGTACGTCTTGAGCTTCGCTTTTTAAAGTTGACTGCAAAAGGCCTCACTTTGATCTCAGAAGGGTGTCAGAATCTGGAGTACGTTGATTTATCTGGATGCGTTAATCTAGGCAGTCGGGATATCACGAATGCAATTTCAAATTTGAAGAATCTGAAAGATATTAAGAAGCCCAACTTTTACTTCCCGAGGTCGAGTTTGCATGCCGAGAGATATGGTCACTGGAGATTGTACGATGAGAGGTTCCAGACAGACGTATTTAGGATTTGAGTTGATGGGAAGAAAGATATTTATCAAGATATTTGTTCGTTTCAACTGGGAGTTTCTGTTTTACAGTTCGATGTATATAATTTTATGGGGTTCTATTTGGAACTCAGGTTGTGGGTTACTGTTTGTATTGGGAAAACCTTGCAGAACTTATGTTTTCTTGTCATGTTTCTTGATGTATTTGCCTTTCGGTTTCGGTTGTATGAATGTTTATGGGAATAGAAGACTTGTTATTGTTTCCAGATAAGTAGATCGAATACCACACACATAACAGCCAGCAAATGATACCAAATGTATGCATAAAACTCAACCTAGAAGAAATAAGCAGCTTACAAACACACATGTATAGAAACCAAAACGAGCAAAAGTCGTTTCCGAATGATAACCAGCTGCACTCTTAGATTTTGGAGACTTCCTCGTGAGATCCGACCCTCCATAAACTCCCCTTCTCTCATGAATAACTTCTTCGACAGCCCATCTTTTATCCGTAACATGTCGTTCCATGTTAGACTTTTCTGCATCGAATTTATGTGGGGATAATAATCATATGTTATATACTAAGAATAATAGTTGGAAGAATAAATTAATGAAGATTTATCTATATCTTTGTCTATAATAGAAGAACCCATTACAACTTCAGAACCAGCTATAGCCTTAGAGGTTGTGTTTTTTTGGCATGCAGCAAAAGCTATGGACTGTAGGGATATAATTAAGAAAAACCATGAAATTATTAGCCTTCTCATGATGTGATTGTGGTGAGCAAGTAATTTGGAATAAGTGAGGTAGATGATATTAGGTTTAAATACAAATCCTTTTATTTTTGAGGGGTTAAAGTATATTTTAGTTTTTTTAAGATGTGAGCTAAAGGTGATTGCTTTTGTGATAACCAAGACTCACAGACAAATGGAATCTTATGCTTTAAAGATTGGTTTTATGAGGTGAAAATTGCATCTCGACTTAGATGACAAAATGTGTCGAAGGATGAAGAGATTGATCAAGAAAAGTTACTTTACACATGAGAATGCACCCATAGCTATGTAAGAAGTTTTCTTGATTTTATTCAAAATTGATTGGGTGAACTCATCAGAAAGTAAATTCAGAATCAATTACATAAATGCGTTTTGCGCATCAGATACCCCAAAGAGAAAAGCACGAAATGGTGGGACTTTCAAAATATTATTTTCATGTTGTTTTAAAAAAATATGGTATTTCTAAAATTAGAAACATGTTGAAGGTCAAGTTGCCCAAGTTGACACAATCTACTGGATTTAAATAAAGAATAAAATGGGACCATAGTCAAATTAAGACCAGTTTACAAAGTGGGTAGGGTCATGTTACACGGTTTGTACCGAGTACACGCTGAGGAATATAAAACGTGTTTTCACGTTGCTTCAACTTAATTAATCGTTCTTCTTATGTTCTTGGCAAATTTTTGGAACACATACACTAACTTACTACTAACATAAATATTTTAAACTAGCTAGGGTAAGCAGAGCAAAGAGATCCCATGAAAAAGATCCCATGTTCTCATTTCGGAATCATAAAGTGTATGTTTGGAAGCACTTTTGTAATGTATTTTTGATTATAAAAGCCTATTTCCTATATAAAAAGATATTTGGTGTAATAATAAAATGGACTTTTAAAAAAGTAACTCCCACAAAAAGTTCATTTCAAGGAAGTTTATGTTGGACACTTCTTGAGAAGTCACTTTTTAAAAAGTCTATCTAGAAATGGACTTCTCAATAAGTGTTTCCAAACAAACCCAAAATCAGTACAGATCAAGAATTTCTCAAAACTATATGTAAATTACTTGACCAACCTAAAATTTTGTTATATTTCTGTTCTAATGCAATATGTTAGAATAATTTTTTTGGCACTGAAACTTGTATGGAGGGACATGAACACTACAAAAAAATGTTATATTCCAACGGAAAATCTTACGATAATATATTCCAACAGATATTCCAATGGTATAGCTTCCGTTGGAATTCCAATGAAAATATTCCGTTGGAATTAATTTTCCATATTTTAGATGAATTTGATGATTTCAACGGCTATTTTTCCAACGGTTTTTTACCGTAAGAATTTCTGTTGGAATAGGCATTTCTGTTGGAATTTTTATTTCCACCTCTGTTGGAAAATCTACCGTTGGAATCTTCGAAATCCAACAAAATTCTAATGGAATATTTTTGTTGGAATTGCCGTTGGAATTCTATTAAAATATATTTGTATTGGAATTTTCCGTTGGAATTTGATCATTTTGTTGTAGTGGAAGCTGCAAGTTACTAGGCTAGAGCCGATCATGATTGTGTGTTTGATGGCCTATTTGAGACTAGGATAGTGCACAATGTATACTACGTGATGGAAAACAATTTCCCGACGAATGATGTGTGGGTAGATAATATCAGAAATTCTATGGCGAACCATATGGTACCATAATCTTCACGATCTAACACCTAATATTCATTGTGGAATTCATAGAATGGATATTAGGCGTTGGATCGTGAGATTATGGCACCATATGGTGCCCATATGGGCGCCATAGAATTTCTGTAGATAATATCAAAGAAACTAGCGAAAGTAGCGATTGGTAGGGAAATTTGTTCGTCAAAATAATTACTGATACATTTCTAACAGAACTATTAGTCAAATGATCCACAATAAGCATACCATTTCGTTTTCTGTTTCTTTGAAAACTGATTAACTATCTCATCTCCTTTACAAGACCAACATACCACTACAAAAAGTTAGTCATATTCCAACAAAAAATACTACGACAATATATTCTAATGTAAATTCCAACGAAAATATTCCGTTGGAATGACTTTTTCATTAGAATTTTAGATAGTATTTCATAATTCTGACGGCTATTTTTTTAACGACTTTTTACTGTAAGAATTTCCGTTAAAATTTTTATTTTCGCTCATATTTCAATCGTTGAAAAATCTACCGCCGGAATCATCAAAATCCAACGGAATATTTTTGTTGAAATTTTCGCTGGAATCCATTAGAAAATTCCGACGGAAATAATAACACAAGAATATCCATTGGAATTGCCGTTGGAATAATTCCATTATAATATATTTCTATCGAAATTTTCAGTTGTAATTTCATTATTTTCTTACAGTACAAATGTTACCAAATCAGAAGCACTCACTGGCAAACCCAAACACATAAAAGTTTTCAACTTATCTATCATTTGAACATATATATGCATATATACAGAAACTAACTGATACATAGAGAGCAAATCAACCCAAATCTCGACAATATTTAGCCACATGTTCTAGAGCAAGAAGAGAAGAGAGAAACCCATAACAAAACACACTTGCAGCACAGCTGTTTTTCCACCGGCGGCCGATGATCTTGGCCCCACACGACCGGCACTTGCAGGTATCGTTCGAAGCCTCTTCTTGATCTGGACCACCATTTTACGGGAACCCATCACAAGCTGCATATCACCAACTGATGATAAGCTCGTGTGGATATCACTCGGAGATTTTGAGGTTTGTCTGTCGGCTGTGGTTGGGCAAGGGAAATGGGATAAGAACAAGAGTGATAACACAAGCAACAAATTGATCAGATGCTTCATCTTTAACATGATGATAATAATAATAGTGATTAAAAGAAGTCAAGATGACCTGGTTTCATGGTAGTCTGATTGGGCGGGTATATATGTCTTTGAAAAAATGTTGAATTTCTAACAAAATTGTAAAGTTAGCTATTTACTTTATTTCGAAAGGTCAAATTTTATGGGTGTGGTCAGTATTGATCCATTAAGCTTAAATAACAGGAATAATTTCGCGTAATTTGACCAGCAAAATCCGAGTTACTTTTAAAATTGTGGGTTGTGACAAGGTCAAGCCACTTGAGAACGTGTGCGAGGACATGATTGTTTCTCGCATGCATTGTTGGGATTAAGTTAATTAATCATTTCACAATCTATATCTTCTGAAAATGCAAATTTTCAATGTGAAAGCATGAAGATTGGGAAAAGTTTTGATGATAACGTTTAGAGGAAGTACACGTCCTTCAAATGTAGAAACAAACATTGTTCGGATTAAATAAAAAAAAAATATATATATATATTTTTAGGAAAAAGACACAAAAGAAAGAAAAAAATGTTAGAGGTAGCAAATGCCAAAGAACTTGTTGAATGCATAATCAATAGACAAGGTCATAATGGGAAAACTAGAGAAACTACTTTTAGCCATATTTTAGAAAGAATATGCTAATTTAACATAATTTTTTGAAACAATTGTAGATATAAAATAATGTATAGGTATAGGGATTATTGGTTTTAAGTTTTTAACATATATTAAAATATATGATATGCATCATACTCATATATAACATAACTTCTAAATAGATTGTTTTATATTAAACGATAATGAAAAGTAAGAGTCCAACATCCCGTGTACAACTCTTGATGTAAGACTTAGGGGGTTGTATTCAATTGAGATTTTTAAGGACTTTTTAAAACTTTTTATATTTGGTGACTTTTGTAGACTTTTTAAAACTTTCATGACTTTGGTAGATTTGTTGAGACTTTCAGAGAATTCTCATTAGTGACTTTTTAAGACTTTCATAATAAACTTTTTAAAACTTATTGAGACTTTTGTATACTTGTAGTTATAATATTATATTTGGAAATGAAACATTAATAAACGTATATAATAACTAATATCAAGAAAAAATAAATGAAAAAAAAAATTTATATATATATCCTCTAAAAATTTATGAATCAACTCATTGTTATACGAAATGAGTTACTCACTAACAAATTGTTTAGGATTTTTAGATTTATTAAACGAGCAAATCAATCCGAGTTTCAACGAGCCGAACTATGGAATATACAAACATTGTCGAAAAACAGTAATTGTATTTTATAAAGTAATAAATAATTTTCAAAATAATTCAATATCAACAAATAAATTATTAGAAAATAAAATAATTTTATTAATATTAAAAAATAAACATTAACAAATAAAAAGAGAGAACAAATAAATTATTTGCAAGTGCAAACTATGGAAGCATTTAACCTTTAGAAAATCAAATTCGCAAGATAACAAAACGAAAGAATAAAGGTATACATACATAATAACCATAATAAAAATATATATAAAATAAAGATCACGTTAAATATAAGTAATGAAAATAAAAATTATACAAGGTATCAAAATAAATGATGAAAATAATAAAGCATGAAAGTGATATGAGATATAAAGTCGTGTTAGAAAGAAAAAAGAAAGGGAGCGTGAAGAGAATCACATAAGTCCAGCAAAATCTCACCAATATTGATGAGATTTCTGTTGGGACTCTCTCTTTGTAAGTTTGAGAGAAAAGTCTCTAAAAGTCTCACAATTTAAAAAGTCTCACAAAGTCTTCATCTTTTGAATACATAGTGACTTATAGAGACTCTCAGAAAGTTTTAATTGAATACCCTAAGACTTTTAATGACTTTTTAAAAGTCTCAATTGAATACATATAAACTTTTCAGAAGTCTCTATAAGTTCTAATTGAATACTCCAGGATTCTGAAAGTCTTAAAAAGTCTCTAAAAATTGAAATTGAATACACCCCCCTTAATTAGAAAACTTAGTCTTCTAAGTATGAAAATACAAACTACTCTCGAATACGTATAACTGTACAAGCAATGTATAGGTACAAAATTCAAGACAATTTGTTTATGTGCCATTAATATTATAGTATCTTTATTTAAATCAGAATTGACTCAGTTACATATAACAAGCAAAACATTAAACATGTCTTCTTTCTTAAAAGAAAGAAAAAACATAAAATAAAATTCATGCATGATTGCCGGTTTTTAACATTTGACATTGACATCTACCTAGAATCGAATCAACTATCAAAATTTTTTCCCCGTCATAGTCCACCTCGCAACAAATGTTTACAGTTTATAGAATTATTATATTTTATATTGATTCAATAATTCTGAAGCATAAATTATGAGTTTCCACAAGCCGCGCTGTAGTAAGGAAACTTTATCTCTTGTTATATATATTTTGAACTGGCATATTGTAAAGTATAACATCTAAAGTGTTTTGTGTATACAAAATTTTCACAGACAAGTTCTGTAGCTTTTAGCGTGAAACATAAGTGTACTGACACAGAACATAATTTCTTGACAGAAAAAAATTTAGCTAGGCAATTGAAACATATTTTGAAATATAACTGTGTACTTACGAGTTACGACTGGTATCATTAGTGACGGTCAGCCGAACAATTTCTCAAGAGTATTGGGTCGTAGCTTGTCTTTTAGAGAAGGTTGACCGAGATGCCTAGTCAAAGCCCCAACCACACGATCCATGTACAACGCGTATAGTGTATTCCTGGTCTCCAAGAGCTCCAATGCTTTTCGAGCACTGAAAACGGATACAATCCATTCTTCCAGAAGCTCTACGCAATTGTCGAAATAACCTTAGCTTGTTACCATAGTTCAGTTATATTGATTATTGATCTCCTTGCATATCTTGTAAGAAATAATGATGCCAGAGCAAGAAGACAACTAATGAAGATTTGAAGTATAAACGCATACTCGTATCAAAGTCTTGCCTAGTCGACCAAGAAATTAAGCAGTCTGAAATCAGGAACTCGATAAGTTGAATCCTGCCAACCACATAAATATTTCAAAACAACATGAATATAACCTATCATGATCTGGCTTGCAAGATACTCAAAAGAAAGTCATCACAAAGTACTCAAAATCGATGAACATTAAAAAATATTATCTTCATGCTCATAATGTAACTCCTAGCAGAAAATGGGTGTAAGGTAGACTAAAAAACTCACATTAGGTACATGCCATTATGCATTTTGGGGAAGGCACCATCAAATGGATCCATAACTAGTAAACTTTCTGCAACTATAGAAATTCTCTGAGAAACTGAAAGGATCAGTCGCTGGCCAACATAAGAATCAGTCCCAAGCTTACGCAACAAGTGCTGAACATAAAACTGGAAATCGCAGTGATCTTGAACCAACTCTAGAAATAAGAGAAAACAATTGAAGAGGATTAGGGAAAATAATTCAGAGGAAAAATAATTGCCAATTTGTTGATAAATAAAAAGAGAACTGAGCTGCAAACATACAAGCATATTTAGTTAGATTCTTGACAGTGGTAATGGAATATTCTCATTCTAAAAAGAAGCAGTATGTGAAGAGCAAACATGATACACATCTCTGGAACATTCTTCATCAAAAAATTATCTTCAAATTCCCAGCACTTGTTTTACTTTTAGATTTTATATTTCATTGGATTTGATACTTTTTGAAGGACATGCCCTGGTTTCTTAAAAGCTAAGATTCTTCATGCCTTTCCATGATCCAGAAACTCTAGTGGCTTCATGTGTCATTAAACTAGCTATAACTTTTCTTGTCAGTGAAAATATGCTCCAACAAGAATTCCGCAAGTCCCCAGCCCTTGAAATTCCATATCCAGGGAAAGGACACGCAGGTAGCATTACAAAGACTTGTAAACCAAGTAACTCAAATGCAAGAAATGTTTGGCATATCACTTCCCCAACATAGATCATCTACTTTGAACACTCCTAATAAGACATCATGTTAAACTGATTTCCAAGCTGAAGAAACTAGAAGCATTGTCCCAAAGATATCGTGGATGATGCTAGTTCCAAGTTTATCATAACTTAATATCCCTATGTACAAATCCCATAACTAGCTATTACAGATGTTTGTAGGAGTAGAGCCGCAAAAGTTTCAGAATATAGTGATGAAAACCATCAAACAACGTTCTAGTTCTTCTAACCATATTGTATTAGTATATCACAGAAGAAAACATTTGTTGGTGAATCAATCACTAAACTAATTCCAGGACAAATTAGTAATGTCTCAACAAAGATAAATACTGTATACAATGTGGGGATAATAGTAAATGAAAATACATTGAGAAGCTTACCATCTCCTTGTGAACCATTGCACATCCTTCTCATTAGCCGGACTATTAAGCTACTTATAATACTTTCAACCATATCATCTTTTTTTCCACCAGATGAAAGAGTGTTCAATGTAGCTTCATGAAACCAGGAAAAACATTTTAGTCAGATGGACAGTCAGAGCTATACACTACGACACAGCAAAGAGTTTTTTGATGCCAATCAATATCAGTCTAAGGAAGCAGCTTCCAGAGAATTAACTGAACATAATGCTCAAGACTCATTAGTAGCTGCATATAAACTATTTATAATCTCAACAACAACAACAACAACAACAACAACAACAACATACCCAGTATATTCTCAACAGGTTGGGGTCTGGGGGGTCAGTTGTACGCAGACCTTTGTAATTATACAAGGAGGCTGTTTCGTAGCGACCCAAGGTGCATTGCGCCGTTTGATTTTTTTTTTTTTTTCTAGAAACTTAACTAATAGAAACTATTTATAATCTCAATGTTAAAAAAATTCCTTATGATATTACACAGACTGCTTTAAGAGAAATTCAAGGTATCTAAAATAAACGTCTAACTTCCTCAGACATGTACCTATATTAGGACTAGTTCAAGCAAGGGCAAGCTAATTTGAAATGACACAGAACATTTTAAGAATTAAACTTTCAGAAGTATTTGAAAACCTACTTTACTGGATAAAATCATGTTGTCAAACAAGGAGCAGCATATTAAACCATCATCTAGATTTAGTACCCAGAATAAAGTCAACAGCTTGATGCGACCAATTTTTTAAACTGCCTTTAGCTGCCTGCAAGACATACAATTCCAGAAAGAGCCAAGTAAGATATGCAACTAAAGAATAAACTATCATCAAACAAATTGATGAAGCCTGGATGGTAGACAGGATATAGATACACACTCCATTAGGAGACGACGTCTCACAAAGCTCCACAAGAAAATCTACTGAAGCTCGCAGTTGCTCCATTCCATTGTCAATATCACTATCTGCAGCTCCATTAATTCTAAAGATATAACTATTATGACAGAAAGAGAACCATAGTACAGTTACCATATTCACTGGAACTCACAAAAAATAACATGGCAAGACAGAAGAACAACAACACTCAGAATTATATTAAGAAGTTATAAACTGAAATTTCTAACTGATTTAAATTATTTCTACTCATAATTCTTGGATATTCAAAGGGATATAGGACATTCTTGAATATATTTTTTTGCTAGTCAACCATTCATACTTTTCCAACATGAAAGTTTTATTAGCTTTTCTACTGGGCAAAAATGTTATAACACAGTTCACTCAGCTAAATTCAGAAAATATAGTTTAGCTTGAGTAAGATATTTTATGTATGAAACTCTATTAAAGCTAATAGTCCCTTTTAGACTAAACTTGAAACTGCATAAAATTGTTTGATTGTTCTGAGCTTCTACGCTGTAGTTCTATGCTCTACCTACAGTTACAGAATCACCTAAAATGGATCCTAGTTTATATTACAGTTGTCAAAGGTCATCCTTAAAGTTCAATTAGAACAAACCTTTCCATTGGACTGTCATTACAGAAGTGGAAACTAATAACCATTTCAACTTGATATGCAGTAGAAAAATAATTTCAGGTGCAACATCTCCATTACATAAAATAAAATAAAATAAATTAAGAGATCCTATCATCCTATTTATTCACAACCTTCGTAGTCACAATTTGTTCAATCTATAGCATAATAAATACATGGATATCAAGAATTAAAATGATGTCTTCACCTGAAATGCAGGATTGACCTACCGCGCCATCAAGCCTTATTCTCTTTCTCTCACTTAATCTAACTGCAAAATGGATCCATAAGCACTGTTTTAAAACTTCCGTAAACTATCAAGAAATGAAAATAGAAAGTGAAACAATAAGTATGAAAAGTGCTATCTCTAAGAAAGTCAATTCTTCAACTTAATCATAGAAGCAAAAATTACAAAGAGAAAGAAACCTTGTCTGAGAAACCTACGACGAAGCACATCCCCAAATCTCTTCTGCTCAGACTCATGCTTAGGGCTTAGCCTTCCCAAATTATCAAAGAAATAGCATTTACATGATACACTCTGTGGAAATACATCATGGTGCAGTCCATCTGATGTATGCAAATAGTAAAGCTCATTAACAAGATCATCAATTACAAATAATTGGACACCAGTGAATGTAATCACTCTCATAAATAAACGAGTGATCCTCTTTCAGGATATTATCTATTCTCTCACAATTTTGAAGCTCATCTGATGCAGACGCATGCTTATTCCTTGACAGACAAATTCTCAACATCTAAACTCAAGTCCAATTATCGAAATTTTGAAACTTACAGACACAAATACAGATGAGTATGAGCAAGAAGAAGACTTGCCTTCAGCAATCTTCAGATCTTCCTTAAGCCTAATAATTTCTTCTTTCCTCTGTTTTGCCTAAATTTTTCACCCAAGTACGAATTAACTGAAATGCGCCATTGCAGTAGATCGCAACAACACACTAAATCTCGCAAGCACACTGATGCAGAAAATCGTAGAAAAAGAAAAGGTGAGAAGGAAACCTTTGTTTTCCATTTGATAGCATCGGATTCCGAGTTGGTGCCGCGGACTGCTTGGGAATCGCCGTCGCCGGCGGCTTCTGTAGTGGCTGAAGGAGGAGGAATCTTCCGGCGACGCCGAGATTCAACAATAGCCATCGCTACCGCCAGTTTGAGAGATGGATTCAAATCGCCGTCGTGTTGCTTTGCCAGATTCTCCATTGTTTTCAGCTGAGTTTGAGAGGCCGAGGCGGAATTTTACCATGATTTTGAAGTCATTTGCATTTATACGAAAAATGGAGTATGGATGGGCTTCAACGCGTGGGCCGGGCTTTTACTCTTGAAGGTCTCGTTGTTTGTGGCTCAAACATTTTTCATTCACTCTCCAAAATTTTTTATAGTTTTTTTCGTTATATTTTATATATCAAATTAATTATCTTTGAACTTCTCGATTTGACATCCATATTATATAATAAAATACAAAACAGTGATACATATATCCTTATAACTAAGATTTGAATTTATTTATTAAGCTAAATTAAAAAAAATATCAAATAAAATTGTAAAAAGTAATAGAAATTTATGTGTATTAACATACTATAAAATAGTTATTTATGTATGAACAGGAAATTAATATAAAAAAATTCTAAAAATTTATGTCTCAATTTAAATTAAGACTACATAGAGATTGAATATTATAATGCTCTTAAAATGTCTTAGTTTTATTTATACTGTTTTTTAAAGTATGACATGTTTTAATGAAGTTATGCATATTTGTAAAGACCATGTTGGCTAATAATTAGGCCGATAATAAGTATCATGGAGTTTTTGTAATTTCAATTCATTTAATTATAATGAAAGGTACAATTTACTACAACATTCTTAACTTATTTTAAATAGTTTTTGAGTTGAAGCTAAACTTATAGTTATGGTTCAAATCAAAATTTGTGGAACTGCACACAGATTAAGTATCGTAAAAAAATAGAATACAATGAAACAGTTATACATAAATATTGGTTAAATATCACGTAAATAGAAAACAAGAATCCTATTAGTTGAATACAATGGAACAGTTATACATAAATATTGGTTAAATATCACGTAAATAGAAAATAAGAATCCTATTAGTTGTATACAACGTGAATCACTTCTCACTAAAATGCTCATAATAAAAAATTAAGAGTTCAAATTAACATTATACATCACTTGTATACAACGTGAATCACTTCTCACTGTATCTATAATTCTATATACTTCTTTTACATAAAATACAAATCACCAACTTAGTTCTAAAAGCTTAGCAGTTGAAATTAATCATATATATTAACTCCCTGCCAACAAACCAACACACCAAAAACAACACCAATAACGAAAAATGTCTTCCTTCAAGTCAAAAACAGAGCAACAATATACCATAACATTCTCTTCATAACTGTTGCACAGTCGCAATTATGACACAAATTTAACCAAAATTTAATCAAGTCAAGACAAAAACAAATTAAAAAAAAAAAACAAAAACAAACAAAAACTAATAAAATACAAAACAACTTGGTCCTTGACAAAGGAACCTTTTCTTCCTGGGGCAGCAGCCATGGCCGCACCAGAATCAAAATCTCTCTGAAGTTCTAAATAACTTTATAGCTTCCTCTCTACTGGAAGAACACGCGCATCTATGACTCCACCTCAAGAATAAAATTATACAGCCCACTCAATATCAAATCCATGAGGTTTTTTCCCACCAGAACCCTAAAACAGGCTCTTGCAGGCTTCAACATCCGCCGCCTGCAAGTCGAGCAGCTCTTTCCCTGTAGCTCCGGCTGATGCAACAATCTTCACAGCCGAATCAAATATGGCCTTCTGAAAATAATCATCACCCACTTTCCCCAAAATCTCCCTCACCCCCTTAAACTCCAGTCCTCCCCCCAAAACCAAGCTCCCGACAATCTCGCCAAAATTGGCCGGCGCTTTTGGTAAATCAATAGCCAGGTCGTCCAGCAAGGCAGCATACAGCTGGCACCCAGTTCCCACATCGTTCACATTGATCACCTTCTTCTCGAGTAAGTAGTTCACGAGTTTCGCCACGGGCTCGACACCTGGCGGGCTTTTCTCCAGCCCGAGAGATATTGCCTCCTTCACAACCTCTGGGTGGTAAGCAGGAGACTTGAGTTCCTCGACACACTGCAAGGCCTCGTCCAAAAGCCTCACGCTAAAATACTCCTCCAGAAGTGAGACGGTTTTCTTCTTAAGCTCGTCCGGGTTCGACTTTGACGATAATGGCTTCTCGCCAGGTGGAGTCGGGCCCGCCAGTCTAAACGAGCCCTGCAAGAGGGCACTGGTCTTGCCGCCCATGAACCCGACGCTGCCCTGTGGGAGGAGCCTGGGGTTCAGAGAGGGGGATTTGGCGACAAGTGGCGACTGAAAACGGGCTGAAGTTTGGATGTTGGGAGAGTCTCCTCTAGGCATGGATCGAGAGCGAGGGACTTCCCAGTTGTCATTGTCGATGCCTGGCATCCCGGGCATTTTTCGAGTCCCGGGCATGCCGGGCATCATGCCACCTAAGCCTGCACGATTCATCGGAAAACCGCCGGGACTAATGTTCCCCTGTCCTCCGGCGGAGATTGTCCGGCTGTTTCGGATGACGGCAGTGGCGCCCGGGCGCAGACCGAGATTCTTTTCGGCCTCTGAGTGGATCTCGGTTATGGTTTTGGCCTTCACCTGGAGAAAGTATTAAGAAAATGTTCAGATGCGATGATTTGTGTAATAAAGGGATGGGGCATCTGTTATATTATTATATTATTATACCTCTTCCCGTCGAGGGACCCAGTTATTGGAGCGAAGGTCGAGGACGTCACGAACCATGAACCTCAGACGGGCAGCGAGCTGAGGATTTGTCGACAGATCTCTCAAGCGGTTGAAGTACATGTCGTTGATGCGCTTGGATTTTTGGTTCTCGTCGAGCTGCTTGCCGATGGTGATGAAGAATTGGCAGATTGCCTCGACGTTCTCCTCGGCTGGGCAGATCTTGGTGTCTTGTCCCAATAATTCCTGATTGGTGGAAATCCACCGATTAAAACAATTACTAAAGAATTGAAATATGTCTCAAAGTAAATGAATTCAAAAAAATTACCAAAAAGAGAGAAAAGTCCACAAAACACAATTTTTTCTTTAAAAAAAAAAGGGCGTACAGGAGGATAAAAACCTGAACAATATGATGAACGATCTTTTCGGGGACCATCTTCTGCTTGAGAAGTTCTCCAATCAAGCGGATGTTCCCAAGCGTGCGGAGTTTGACCAAACGCTCTTTATCCCTTCGTTCCTGCTCCTGATCAGGAGCAGTCATCTGTCTGACCTCTTCCCGCAATTTGTCAGCACCTTCAAAAGCCTCCTGGCAGTTGTTCAGGAGGACACGTTTGAATGTGATTTCTTTGCCACCAGGCTCGTCAGATGGGAAGGGAGGAAGCTTCTCGTTAAGGTCCGAGCACAGCAGGGCATACATGGGACAAAATGTTGGCTCCAGGACTGCCTTGTCAAATATCAAGGATATAACTTCCTGCAGCGAAGATAAAAGAATATAAAATGATCTCCCAGAAGTTATAAATAGTTTGAAGTCTAACCTACAAATCGACATACTATACCTTCAGAATATCAGCTGATGTGATTCCAGAGTCGATCAGTTGGCCTTTTAGAACATCAAACTTCTCAGGAGTAAGCTTATTCAGTATGCTGCAAGAAACATAAAGTGTTCAGGTTTTTACAATCAAGGAAGTCATAAATCTAATGCGTAGTGCGTTTGAACCTACAAAGGATATCTCAACCAGTCATCATCAGATCATCAGTTTTAGACCTTTTGAAAATTGTATGTATAGATTACATTTCAATGAACTCAATCAAAACAATCAAGTCAAAAGCAGACATGAGTCTGTGGTTAAGGAGAGGAACTATCAAAGTTACGTATGCACACATAAAAAATTAAAAACAAGATTGTATTGAAACTAGAGGGACTAAGCAACTGTAATGCAGAAGATGAAAGAAGGATTACCCCTTGACTGTTTTTAAAACACGGTCCTTGTCAGAAAGTGTTCCTCTTCGAGCAGACCATGGCACCTCAGCTTTGATTAGAGCAGCGGCAGTTCCAGCCTGTTTCATTACCAATATATGTAATGTCAGAAATATTGAATCACTAACAAGATAGTTATGTTGAGTTCTAAAAAATAACATTGCAGATCAAAGGTTTCTAAGGCATTGCAGATATCTTATCCACATGCAATTAACAGTCGTTGCAACAAACAAACCCACATATATATAATTGGAAGCTACATCTAATAACCCTTCCATGTTCATCACAAATGGGTACCAAGCAAAGAGAACAACAAACACGAATACAGTAAACTAAAAAATGTATATTTGCAAGGATGGAGAAAAGACCAGCAAGACGTTAGATTGCAGAAGGATGTATAATATAATAATGACTTCTGTAATCATCTCCCATTTCCGCATCAGCACCAGAAGAATAGGCAGTTTTTAACATGAGTTGCAAGCGAACACCATAACAGAATAATAGGAAATAAATTACCCCTTGGTTGGGCACTCTTGAGAACTGCGAGTTGAGCTGGTTTTGCTTATTGAATTGGTTTGCATCCTGTTGCCTTGGGTCAAACCGGCCACCAAAGTCTCTGTCCCTTATTGCCTCCCATGACCTCTCCTCTGTAGGGGCAGGAAATTGCGCAGATCGATTACGCCAGTCACGGTTGTCCGGTTCAGAATAACGACTCTGAGCTTGGGTCAGGGGCTACAAGAAGCGATATAAAAAGGTGGAGTGAAAACAAATTTAATGTTATACTTTAGAATTTTGTTTGTATGAATTTAAGAAAGCAATTATACCATATAAAAAAAAAAGACTAGAACTTACATTATTCTCTCCACGATTCCAGTTAGGATCTGAACCAAAAAATTCAGCGTCAACTTCTTGCTTCACTTTAAAAATATCATCAGGGATGTTGCCGATCTACAAAAAAGTTATACAATTATAGGGGCGACACCACACTCAACATCCAGTAAGGCCCAGCATAACCCCAGAAGAATATTTGGTTCAATTCATTTGCACGTGAGAATGAAACATGCATTTATATGACAAAGGCAAAAGTAGATTGAATCACATAAATTATGTAAAAAGTGGAAGTAGCCACATTAGCAATAAATCAAAGGGTAAACTTTAAGCTACGAGCCTACAATAAATGTGAAAAGCTTCATACGAGGTATCGGCCACATTTATAGGTAAGACTCATAAATGACGAGCTTTGTGCTTGTACACATGTATAACAAAAACAAGCCTTACCTCCCTTAACTGCATTAGCTGGTCTCTAGAATACCGAATACGTTCGTGGCCATCAAATCGAGATTCTCCAGTCTGTTATCAATGAAATAAAAGTGAGAACAATGGTTAAGAGACAAATTGCAGATGGTGAAGCATTATACTACCCACAATGAAGAAAACATAAAAATTCACACAATCAAGTGTAGAAGATGCAATTACATTGTCAATTAAATAAAGATCAAACAAAATACAAAGTGTGGATTATGCATCCCTAGAAAGGACAAACATATGTGGAACAAATTCAATAAGTAAGATAAGGTATTATTAAGAATATGAGAGCTGATATAAATGTGTCTGTCAATCACTAGAAACAAGCAACCAACAATAGTTGTATCAAGGTACTATTCAGATATCAGGCAGTAACATGTACATATGCACTTCCCACCCAAAAGAGACAACACATGGCCACAATAACACAAAATCTCATTTAGATGAGACATATACTAATGGATTATTACGCTATTTCACATGATGTGAATCCATGGAACTATATAAGGTGAAAAAACAATTGCACGTTGCGGAGGCACATTCATCTTTAAAATCATTATAGTGCGCTATAACTCAATTTTCCATATCCGCAGGTTTCTTTATGGACATCCCACAACTCCTTGCATGCCCACCTAAAGCCTACGTAACACTATACGTCCATATTTACAGCAAATACACATCTTAAGTGCACTGCCAAGAATTAGGACGATGGCAAACAGATCCAAGCTTACATGAGTCTCAGGGTACTGAGGACTGTAAATGGAAGTCTAAAGAACGAGAATTTATGATCAATTGGCTCAAGTCCTTTAACATNAAAAAAAAAAAAAAAGACTTCGATTGAATATGTGCTACTTGCACGAAAAAACTAGTTCTAATTCTCAACAAATAAGAACTATGAGACCCTGATTCCAACAAATCCTCTATCTAGTACACATTTGTCAGATCTTCAGATTTTCATATCAGACTAAAACCATCCATACACCATCGAGGGGTCATGGTAAATAAATTGAAACAAATAAGGAGAATCTACAAGCATCACAGGCAGAGATATCCAGCATACAGATAGCCAGCCAATCACAGCATCGGCATTAAAAAAAATCAGTAAATCCGAAAACAACAAAGAGAACGAACAAGTTTTCATCCGAATCAATCCATAACAGACTCAAAACCCCTAGATCTGAAAAATATCTCTTCAAAAAACAACCTTGAAAGCAGAGAGGGAAGATGCAGCGGCACCGCCATGAGGACGCAGCAGCGGAAGATCGGAATTGGCCGCCCCCGTAGAATCAAAGCGTGGGCCGGTTACTCTACCACCGCGGGCACCACCACCAGGTCTCAAGCTCAACACTGTCTGATCAGCCTGCATAACTCGCAAATCGGAAAACTCTGCACCGTTCAATCTAACACAAAACTCTTCTCAAGAGGAAAGCTAAAACTAATCTATATATCAGAAATATATATATATTTCTAGAGAGAGAAAGCTGTTTCCTCTCTCTACTGGGAGAAGGAGAGGAGGTGAGGATGAAGGGTACGATCTCTTATGTATGGCGATGAAGAGAGAGAAAAACCCTGATTTATTAGAGGGGCTTGAGGGGCCGTAATAAGACAAGAGTATATGGGGGGTTTCGAAATGTAGAAAAATTAAACAATATGCTTAGTAGGGTACGGATTGTTATATTTTAAAATGGTTATGGGTGAATTGAAATTTTAGTGAAGTTATGTCGTCTCTGCGAATTATTCTCAATCCTTGATTGGATGAGATTAGGATTTCATGATTTAGTATTAAGGCAAACAGTTTTGCTACGAGTCATCCATACTTATGCACCAAGACATGTCATGCAATAAATACATTTTGAATAGGTATTAATACATTAAGTGGTGGATGGTTCTATAAGAAAATCATCCGATGCCTCTATAAAATTTTTGTTAAAAACAAAATATATGGGTTTTTTTCGAAATATGGAAAAGTTTGTTTTGTAATTGTTGTATTTTTAAGATGTCACCTTGTAAATTGAAATTTTCATAATATTATGTCATTTGTGCGAATTATGTTCAGCCTTTTCTTGGCTAGGTTTAGGATTGATTTAGAACAATATGGTTCCGTTAAAATAAAGAACAAAGCATACACGAATATATGACTATACTAAAAATTTTTTTATAATTTAAGGTTCATTTTTTTTTAGGAAAATAAAAATGAATATAAAAAAGGTAAGTTGTCTTTCTAATTTAAAGTTATTTATTATGTAGTGACTTTAGTTGACGCATGCAATTTTAAGAAGAGGAGATAGGAAAGGACATCCATGTATATAATTCCTAAATGTGTTAGATCCTAAGTGACAGACTCACATGTTTGGGATTTTAGGTGTCAAAATTTCTGATGGTTGTCCAGTTGAGGCGAGGCCTTATAGGCCAAATGAACCAAAGCTAGCACCTCGTACGGTGAGCAGTCATTTCATTGGTTATTCGGAACGGTCAAAGGGGTATAAATTTTATGATCCCACATCAAGAAATATTTTTGAGACCGGCACTGCCACGTTCTTTGAGGATGTTGAGTTTAAGGGGAGAAATACAGTTTCCGACTTTACTTTTGAGGATCAAGAAATCACCAAAGTGGTTGACCCGATCCCTCAAGAGCAAATAGTCATTCCAGTCTCATACAGTTTCAAGATACAATTGAGGAGCCTGTTCATTTTGAACTTGAACATCAACATGTACCTATAGAGCAAACTCAACAAACTTAAGAACATACAGTTCAAGAGCCAACGCTTCTGCGTAGATCCAATAGAGAACGAAGAAATGCCATTCCGGATGATTATTTGGTATTTCTTCAAGAAAATGAGGATGTGGGTGGCATGAATGAGGATGATCCGATACATCTCAAACAAGTCATGAAGGACCCCAACTCAAATAAATGGATCGAAGCGATGCTTGAAGAGTATAAGTCGATGCAAGACAATAAGGTTTGGGAACTTGTTCCATTGCCAGAAGGTGCAAAACACGTTGGTTGCAAATGGATTTTTATAACCAAACGGGATGCGAATGGTAATCTGGAGAGGTATAAAGCACGTCTTGTGGCTAAAGGTTATACTCAAAGGGAAGGGATTGACTATAAAGAGACCTTTTCTCCGGTATCTTCGAAGGACTCTTTTAGAACAATCATGGCTCTAGTGGCATATTTTAACTTGGAGCTCCATCAGATGGATGTAAAGACGGCCTTTCTCAATGGTGACATTGATGAGACGATCTATATGGTACAACTAGAAAGCTTTGAGGTCGATGACCCGAAGAAAATGGTTTGTAAATTAAGAAAATCCATCTATGGGCTCAAACAAGCGTCTCGACAGTGGTATCACAAATTTCATCAAGTAATTATCTTGTATGGTTTTGAGATGAATGTTGTTGATGATTGTGTTTATCACAAGTTCAGTGGGAGTAAATTTATTTTTCTGGTTTTGTATGTGGATGACATTCTGCTTGCCACAAACGATATGTGCATGTTGCACGAAACTAAGAAATTTCTTTCGAGTAACTTCGAGATGAAAGATCTTGGTGAAGCATCTTTTGTATGAAGAATCCAGATACACCGGGAGCGATCTCGAGGTATTCTAGGGTTATCACAAAAGAGCTATATCGATAAAGTGCTTGAAAGATTTGGCATGCAGAACAGCAAACCAGGAAATACCCCTGTGGCTAAAGGAGACAAATTTAGCCTAAGTCAATGCCCAAAGAGAAATTTGGAAATCCAGGAAATGCAAAAGTTCCTTACGCCTCGGCAGTTGGGAGCCTAATGTATGCACAAGTATGTACGCGTCCGGATATTGCGTATATAGTTGGTGTGTTAGGTAGATACCTTAGTAATCCTGGATTGGATCACTGGAAAGCAGCCAAAAGGGTGATGAGATACCTTAAGAGAACTAAGGATTATATGCTCACATATAGGAGATCAGACCATTTGGAGATCGTTGGATATTCTGACTCCGATTTTGCTGGGTGCCAAGACAGTAGAAAATCTACATCTGGGTACTAATTTATGTTGGCTGGTGGTGCCATTTCCTGGCGTAGTGCCAAACAAACACTTGTTACCACTTCCACTATGGAAGCTGAGTTTGTGGCGTGTTTTGAGGCATCACACCAGGGAATCTGGTTAAGGAACTTTGTCACAAGGCTGCAAATCATTCCGGAGGTTGAAAGACCTATCAAGATCTTTTGTGACAATAAATCAGCCGTTCTATACTCCAACAACAATAGGAGCTCGTCTAAGCAAAGCATATTGACATTAAGTTCCTAGCTGTGATGGAGAGGGTACAAAGTGGTCAAATTTCCATCGAACACTTAGGGACAAAATCTATGTTAGCAGATCCCCTAACTAAAGGTGTAACACATATGGTATTTCACGAGCATACTGCTCATATGGGTGTGTTACATATTCAGGAAGCTTCACTCTAGTGGGAGCATTTGTTACTTTTTTGTCATGTTGTTCAATGATATGTAAAGTACTTATTCTGATCAGAAATAAAGTTTTGGTTCATGACACTTTGTACATTATGTTTTGGTACTTAACGATCTCATTAAGTTTGGACTAGTTGAAAATTGACATGTGTTGATCACATTCATGTAATTTTCATGCCACATGTTCCACAATTTGATCTATGTCATTTAATCATGGTGATATATGTGATTATTGATAGTTTAGCTGTGTCTATACGGCGAAAACTGCATGAGTCCTATATTGTTGTGATTAATGGACCAGATTGTTCAAGTTCTGTGATAATGACCATATTTTGAGCTCATAAGGTATAATGTATCATCAGGACACATATTTAATCCAGTGGGAGATTGTTAGATCTATTTCGGGATTAAACATGTAATTGATACATTGAGTCATTATATTGTTTAGCCAAATTAAGTGATCAATTATTGTACATTGGCTAAGGAACTTAATTTAGATTGTGGAATGATTAAATGTGGACACCCGGTAATATTATTATTTAGTGACGTAACAAATAATAATATTATACTTAAGGACCTAATTAGCAAATAATTTAGGTCAAAATTAATAATGGGTGGAGTCCCCAAAACCGTGATAAATAAAAGGGGTTTTTTGCAATTCTTCATAAAGTGATGAGAAGAATAAAAACCGTAGGGTTTTCCCACTCTCTCCATCAGTTTTATTCCTCATTACGTTAGAAGAGGAGAGGTTATAGTTCACGGCTTTTGGAAGAACTCCAAATCCCAAACCCAAAATCCCAATTCAATTCCAGTGAGATTGATAGGTCGAAAAATGTGCACGTTTTATATATTTAGTAGTGTATTTTTTATACACTTATTCTATTCGCACGTTTATATTTTTCGACTTATTTATTATTTAGATGGATTTATTTGCTTTGAATATTCTATATTTATTTTCAGCACGATTGAGTATTTTGTGAACGAGAGCCTTGGACGGGATTTCACACGAGCCCAAGTTTAGGCCCAACAAGGATTTATCACTCAAAAGGAAGTTGGGCCAATTGACCAACAATTATTTCATTAGAATTTGATTCACGGGAAGTTGATTGGTGGAATTTAATTTGATGGGCTTGCTAATCTACATGCATTGTAAGCATTTGAGGCTGGAGCACTAACACGAATGCATTTGGGAGAATTATTTGGGAGTCCTTATGCAACTAGGATTATTGTTACTTGGGGAAGGAATTATTTACGTGAGGAGAGGCGTGAACATTATATTTTTTTTTAACGAGGAAAAAAACGCGAGAGGCCGTACAGAAGAAAAAGAGAAAAGAGGCAGACAGAGAGACGCACGCACGAACTGAGAAGAAAGAAGGCTACACACGCGGAGGGAAGCCGCACACGCACACGAGGGAGATATTTATTCTCTCTTTTATCTAGTATTTATTTTTATTAGTATGATAGGCTAGTATTTTTATCCAGTTTGAGGGGATGTTTGAACCCTAACTTTAATTTGTCTATTAATTGAAGGATCTATTTTTTATCGTTGATTAATCGAGACGTCGTATTTATTTTTGTTGATGAGTTGATTCATGCTATCTGTGTTTAATGTTTATGAATTATGGTGTTTGATTTAGTTTGGCCAGCTAGGTTGAATATTCATAGTTTAATTGCTAGATTCGAGACTTTAATCCATAATTGTTATTGTCTTGTTTCGTTAGTAGTAAACTAGGGGTCGTGCATCTCTAGGGTAGCATGAGCATAAGTTAAATGGTCCGAGCTTTTGCGTCCATTGCTTAGATCAATCTATTTTCCTAGTAATTAATGCTGCTAGTGTATTAAATCTGGAGAGCTTATTCTAGGTTGTCCACTAGTTAGGTTTAGTCGAAGAGCCTATTTCGATTAAATATTCGGTAAGGGAAAATTCGGTTAACAGAGCTTGTTGTTAGCTAGGGTTGGTAATTCATTAGCAATTTAAAGAAAGCGTCGAAATTAATTAACGGTAGATTTAGATTGGGTGATAACTGAACCGAAAACTGGACTTCTCTTATTTTATTAGATTTTTATTTTATTTTCTTATTTTTATTTTTATTTTTATAAAACCAATCCTCCCACCTTTTATTGTTTTCTTAGTTTTAATTCAATTGATACAAAATTATCACGATTTAGTTCCTACTCCTTGTGGGATCGACCCTTACTCGCCGCTACTACTAGTTAGTAGAGGTTTGTTAAGGAAAAATTATAAATTTAACTTTGCCGTGTTGCGACGCGCGGTCAAATTTTGGCGCCGTTGCCGGGGAGTGGTGCAATTGAGTTGTGATTTTTTTGTGTTAACTGAATTAGGTAATTAGATTATTTTTTTATTTTATTTTTCTTTTCTTTGACTCTTTTAATCCCCCTTTTATTTTATTTTATTTCTTTTGCAGGTGGTACTTGTTATAAATGGATGCGTATTGGAGCCCGGAATGTGCTTACGCTTACGATTCATATTATGAAATGAAAAAGAGGGAAATAAGAGACCAACATCGTGAGGCTAGGATGTCGGCTATGATCCAAGAAGCCATTGAGAGTGTTCGTCAAGTTCTAAGGAAACCATGTCGTCTGTGTCATACCACACATCACGTCACCGATGATTGTCCACTTTTGATCGAGAGGTATGGTGCACGCAGAGCTACCGAGAGAGATTGGTATCGACGAGACGATTGGGCGTATTCAAATACGAAATAGGGGCCATTACCGTTGGGGAGATTGTGGAAATTCATTCTATGAAAATTCACGATATTCTCGACCGTATGAGCCTACTTATGAGCATGACGAATCCCAATTCCACTATGGAGGCTCACAATATTTTTCAGAACCTTCGCTTGAACAAGAGACTAGTCCATCGTTGATGAAGTTACTTGAAGAGTGTCAAAATTCTTTGATGGCTAGTAGCAAAACGATTGGTGATCTATTGAGCGAATTGGATGCCCGAGCCAAGAGTCGGCTAGCCGAAGCCAGCCACGATGATGACAAGGAGCTTAGGATGAGCAGCAACACAGAGCTTGAGGTGCTGGACGAAGTTAGCTTTGAGCCGATAAACGATCGAAGTGACGAAGAGAATGAAGAAGAAGGCGATGAGGAGCAAATTTTCGCTGTTACCGGCCCCCCCGATAAAAACCTGGTAGCATTTACTACTGCTATCGAGGCCCCCGATAACAGCCCACTCGAAGGTGACAATGACGTAAAAGCTCCGACAATTGCCCCGAGCATGACTGAAAATCAGTCTCTTCTATTCGAGGTCAAACAACCAGCAATCGAGCACGCTGAAAATCAAAAGCCTTACATCCTGGAGGTAGTAGAGATTTTTCCTCTTATCTATGAGCCCGGGCTAATCTTTTACCATGATCATTTGCCACCTAGACGAAAAGATCCGGTTAAGCACCCGACACCGGACGAGGGGATCTTTCATAAGCATGGAGCTGCAAGGTTCATGCCTCCTTTGAGGCCACCTATGAAGCCGCCATGGACCGCTTGAAGAAAGCGGAGCAATAAGTCGAGCCAACGACAATAAAAGAAAGGCGCTTGTTGGGAGGCAACCCAATGGTGTGCAACGCGACTTCTTCTCTTGGATAAGGTGAACTCTTTCCTTTTACCTCTTTTTGTGCTCTTTTATTTGTGCAAACTCTAAGTTTGGGGAGGTGTGTTAGTGTGAAAGGTTTATGTGGTGGATTATTTTATATACTCTTTTGATTTGTTTGGGTATGAGCTTACTTGTATGTGGAATTTTGCGATGATGATTTGAGAGTCTTTTGGAATTATTGTGCTAGTTATGATGACTTGGATTAATGATTTCTGGTTAAATTCTTGAAGTGTTGTTATTTGAGGAACAAAGACATGACGATTGATATTTATGTGTTTTATTTGTGGTGAGTTGGTCTCGAACTGTTTATATTTTTGAAATGTGCTGGTGACTATTCTGCTTGATGTCGATTGTGTGAGGTAACTTGACGTGGAAAGTTGGGAGTTGATTGTCTCGNATTCGCCCTCGAATCTGAACCGATCTCGTCGTTCTCGGAATTGTCGCCTCCCTAAGGAACTAGGTGCTTAACGTTGAACACATAAGACGTACGAATGTGAGACGGTAGACGGAGACAATACGCATTCGGATAAATCTTCTCAATGATCTCAGCGGGGCCAATATTATGAGCAGAAAACTTGTTATAGTCATGAGCTGAGAAATGGTCCTTAGTCAACACATCCCAGACGAAGTCACCCACTTCAAACTCAACATGTCAACAACGAGCATTGATAGGTCGAAAAATGTGCACGTTTTATATATTTAATAGTGTATTTTTATACACTTATTCTATTCGCACGTTTATATTTTTCGACTTATTTATTATTTAGATGGATTTATTTGCTTTGAATATTTTATATTTATTTTCAGCACGATTGAGTATTTTGTGAACGAGAGCCTTGGACGGGATTTCACACGAGCCCAAGTTTAGGCCCAACAAGGATTTATCACTCAAAAGGAAGTTGGGCCAATTGACCAACAATTATTTCATTAGAATTTGATTCACGGGAAGTTGATTGGTGGAATTTAATTTGATGGGCTTGCTAATCTACATGCATTGTAAGCATTTGAGGCTGGAGCACTAACACGAATGCATTTGGGAGAATTATTTGGGAGTCCTTATGCAACTAGGATTATTGTTACTTGGGGAAGGAATTATTTACGTGAGGAGAGGCGTGAACATTATATTTTTTTTTAACGAGGAAAAAAACGCGAGAGGCCGTACAGAAGAAAAAGAGAAAAGAGGCAGACAGAGAGACGCACGCACGAACTGAGAAGAAAGAAGGCTACACACGCGGAGGGAAGCCGCACACGCACACGAGGGAGATATTTATTCTCTCTTTTATCTAGTATTTATTTTTATTAGTATGATAGGCTAGTATTTTTATCCAGTTTGAGGGGATGTTTGAACCCTAACTTTAATTTGTCTATTAATTGAAGGATCTATTTTTTATCGTTGATTAATCGAGACGTCGTATTTATTTTTGTTGATGAGTTGATTCATGCTATCTGTGTTTAATGTTTATGAATTATGGTGTTTGATTTAGTTTGGCCAGCTAGGTTGAATATTCATAGTTTAATTGCTAGATTCGAGACTTTAATCCATAATTGTTATTGTCTTGTTTCGTTAGTAGTAAACTAGGGGTCGTGCATCTCTAGGGTAGCATGAGCATAAGTTAAATGGTCCGAGCTTTTGCGTCCATTGCTTAGATCAATCTATTTTCCTAGTAATTAATGCTGCTAGTGTATTAAATCTGGAGAGCTTATTCTAGGTTGTCCACTAGTTAGGTTTAGTCGAAGAGCCTATTTCGATTAAATATTCGGTAAGGGAAAATTCGGTTAACAGAGCTTGTTGTTAGCTAGGGTTGGTAATTCATTAGCAATTTAAAGAAAGCGTCGAAATTAATTAACGGTAGATTTAGATTGGGTGATAACTGAACCGAAAACTGGACTTCTCTTATTTTATTAGATTTTTATTTTATTTTCTTATTTTTATTTTTATTTTTATAAAACCAATCCTCCCACCTTTTATTGTTTTCTTAGTTTTAATTCAATTGATACAAAATTATCACGATTTAGTTCCTACTCCTTGTGGGATCGACCCTTACTCGCCGCTACTACTAGTTAGTAGAGGTTTGTTAAGGAAAAATTATAAATTTAACTTTGCCGTGTTGCGACGCGCGGTCAGAGATCAATCAACATGAATCTATCAGGTACGCTTCCGTTCTTCGGTATAATTCTCGATTGTTCAATATGAATGCTCCTGGGATTAAATCGATTTATTTCGCATAAAGATAAATCCAATTCTATCACCTTTTTCAATCATGTAGTTTCAAATATGCACATTTACCGCGTAAATAACATTGTTAGGCGTGGCTTGTTGCTGATAAACGATTGCAACTTGTATCAACACGTATGCTTTTTTTCATTGAATCAAGTAAAAGTAGCAACTTTCTTAAGAGAAAATTTGAAAAAGGAAATTTGCTGCAAGTAAAGCAGCTAAATTCATTGGGAGAGATTAATTTCTAACTTTTTGTGCCTCGAACAAAATCTTTTTTCAGTCTACCTTTTTAACAATTCAAAAGCATTCATGTGTATGAAAATCCAGATTAATTTAAGAAACTTGAACTGTAAACTACTCCAGCTGTTCTTATAACCCAAAAAATGTACAAGATGCCTTAGAATATGTTAATGCTCACTTTCACATTTCCCTTTAGTAGTTGGTCTGACAAAATAAATACATATAGAGAACAGAAAACAGAGAGATCTAGCCAGTAAACTACAGACGAGGCATAAATGAAAATGATTTTTTTACCCTAAACTAATCACTAATCTAAAATCACTATGCCAAAGAGAACCATTGATATACATCAACGAAAAGAACATTGTGTTAGCCATCAACGAGGAGACACAAAGAAAATGTTGTTAGCACCAACACGTTCAAATCCCTTGAAAATTTGTCAACTTATTAAAACCGAATGCAGACTGTGCCCCGTTTTTCATAGTTTGTCTCATTTGTAAAATATGAGTCCTGAGGCAGTCTTCTTCCACCTGTTCAATCGCATTCAGTTTCATCAGCATATTTTGAAAATATTTTATTACTCGTCTGATTATATTTATATAGAGGGTTTTGCTGACTCGCCTGCAATTTGGCTATGGAACCCAAAAGTGATTCGCACTCGTCCAGCATTGCTCTCTGGCGTGCTGCCACATCAGCGAGCTCCAAGACCAACCAGTTCATCCCCTCGACCTGTATGTATTATATTCAAATGAAATCTAAATTGATTGTATGTTACATATCACAAAAACGGAAAGTGACTTATCCAAGAGTTGGATCCTTTTAAGGCCTAAAACTCAAATTTTGGTATAATGTTCATAATTTTGATGTGAACGAATATTTTAGAAGTGAATGAGTTGTCTCACCTTTGGGAGTATGGACCATAAGGAGGAACCCATTGAGCTCATCACATCAACAGCAGAGCACACAGCTTCCTTCAGGGTTTTAATATCGACCTTCAAAAATTGAATTTTTAAATTATTAAACTCTGATTAAAAAAAAGATTGTTGGTCTAGAATTAGTCAAATGCTAAATTTATCATACCCTTGCTCCTCCAGTGACGGGAATACGAAGGGTGCTGGCCTCGAGATTTTGGGCAGCCTGTGTTAATGAGTTGGTATGATCCTTCTCCAACAAAGTCCACTCTTCAAGAAAGATTGCCTGTGAAGGTGACTATGAGTTGGCTAAAATGTAATTAACCGTCTGCAAAATTCAAAATCTGCCTATAGCATAATAGAAATCTTGAGAACATATCAAGAGGACTTAATAATGCCATCAAGAAATATCTAGAATCTGCAATTGCACATTTCAATTCATAGCATGAACCTGCACATTTTAGTTTCTCAAGTAAAATATTTGTTCTGATTAGGTAGTATATGTGCTTGCGTGGCTATGATGAGATTATGTCCGTAGTTTCTCATTAAATCATGTCCAAAATACAATTTCAACTAACCACCTAACTGTAAGGCAAAGGAGAAATCAGGTGTCAAAACTCAAATTGGTATCATCAATGTAGTATAATGGCAATAATAAGAATAAGGTAACATTACTTGACTGTCCAAAACTGAGTAGACCTTCAACTTAAGCTTCAATTGCTGGACGTCAGATCTCTTTTCCCTTACCAAACTCCAGAGATTTATGATTACCCTCCACACATTATACAACATTTTCTGCACCAACAAATAGAAGAAAAGCAATTAGAAAAATGTGCAATACATTTTAGACATCACAAGAGAAATTGAGATAATGAAATTTGATTCCTCCATCAAACTCAGTTCCATAGTAGAAATCACCATCTTAAAAATGAAAATTAGCAGAAAAAGAACCTCAACCAACAAAAAAAAAAGTTCTGATTACAAAATTAACCAAACAAGATGACTGAAAAACAATTTTAAGCTGTAGTACGCAAACAAAAATAGACTCAGACCAAACAAACCTCTGCTTTCGCTTTCTGAGAACGCAACAAAGCAACAGCTCGTGCATTCGCAAACCGCCACTGCAAATGTCTATTGTACAACAGCCTCAGCTGATGTGCATCTTCAATGTTACGATCCACCTTCTTTCCCTTATTACTAATATCCGCCATAAAACTGAGAACCGAAGCCGAACTATGGGAATTATTTCCTCTCGGGCTCGACGGCCTCACCCTAGCCGGACTAGACCCTCTACTGCAAGGCCCAATTACCTTGGCCCGAGATGGACTAACCCCTCTTGACGCTGAAGGTGACGAGGGCCGTGACCTCGAAACAGGCAAAGACACAGTTGTTCTATCTGATGAACTCGAGCTCGGTCTCTGTGCCCTTAACCAACGATCATCAACAGAATTCCTCGAAAGCCCCGCCACTCGACTTTCATCACGCGACATTAGCATTAACAAGTCGCTGGCCGATTTCTGCATAGGTTTGCTTGTCATCCCATCAAGAGACAATCTCCGAACAGTACGGGATGATAAAGACGGGATTTTGCTCGTCTTATCGAGAGTAACATCGGTTTTTATCACGGGATTTGTAGATAATGTTTTCCCACTTGCTCTGCTCGGCCATTGATGCCGTAAAATATCGGAGGCAGGTTTCGAATTCTCCACCAACAAGTCGGGAGAATTTTTCCCCTTGAGTGGGCTCCGTTTTCTATCTGGCGTGGGCTTTCGGGCTTCGACCACACGAGCTACATTCGAGGGAGGCCTCAGAGTGCGATCGGCCGCCGTTTTTTCACTTTTATCCGATTGAAAGGAGCTGTTGAGACTCCGCATAGTAGACGGCCATAGAGAGTCGGGCAGCTTACTGCCAGTGCCAGCTGTCTTGTTTGGCGCCAAAAGTGATTCTGCATTTGTGTCACGAATTGGGGTGTTCGGCCATGAAGGTGTGGACGGGCGTTTTCTCTCAGCCGATAAGGATCTCTTTGGGGCGTTTGGTGAAGGGCAGCGTTTTGGAACATTAGGTGTGGGGGAAGGGCAGCGAGTTTGACCGTTGGGTGTGGGTGACTTGTACCTCGAGCTAACTTCTCTTGTTCGGGCCCTGCGAGTGGTCCCATTCTTCAATGGGTTCTCTGATTCATATATATCCATTCAAACTGTGAAAATTAGAGCTCATTGGAGTTGCTTTTTTTAGTAAGAACCGGCATTGACATACTTTTCAAAGGAGTACTAGTGATGATAATTAACGTGGAATGTCTTCTAAAAAGGAGATACTTTCCAGTGGTGAGAATCTGCCATAAGACATTTGCAGCCAAAAGTGAGATTACACAAATGGGGAAAAAAGGAGAGAAAGAGGGATGAATGTAAGGCAAGGTGTGAAAAGGAAAAGTTGCTCAAAGAGGAATATATCTTTACAGGAAACCCAGATCACAAGCATAGAGAACTTTTTTATAAATTCTGACAAGAAAATAGAAGTAGATGGGTTTCATAATCATCAAAACTCCATTTCGGAAAACATTCAAGGAACATAAAAATTACTTTTACTACAACAAGCAGAAGGGATCAGCCACTGGAATTTTCTTTTCTTTTCTTTTTTACTCCCTCAGATATGGGGAAAAAAGCCTGAACTCTCTTTGCAAGAGATTTTTCATTATTGTTTTTGTTTCACTTTCATTTTCTTGATTCCTCTTTTCATCTTTGGTCCCCAGCCATTTGTCAGTCTCACGGGAAATGACATGGCTGGCAGGGCTGGAGCTGCATATGCAACTCACTCATTCAGTCACACATACACACACATTTAGCATGCAACACTCACATCACATAACCGGTTAGCCCTTCTGTCTTGTTCCTTCTTAGCCCCCACTCAGATCCTTTTCATGAAAGGGAAATTCACTGATAATGACTCCTACTCCCGTTTCTCTCTCTCACACACACATTCACACAAAGATGCACAAATATACACAAGTATGATTAAATGTGATTGAAAATTGAATGCTCACATACACACACACATACACAACCACAAACACAAAAACACATAGTGGCCTTGGCCCACTCTCAACCCAAATTCCAGGGCAGGTCAAAAGGTAAATCATAAAAAAAAAAAAAAAAAGTAAAGCCACATTACTAGAGCACAATGGACTTATCTTGGGATCAAGCAGAAACTTAAAAAATTTAGTCTTTGGAACCAACAGTCTACTGGGTTTCTCTCGGAATTAACAAGGCTAATTGTAATGAATCTTGTTTCTTTTAACTATTTTAATTACAAAAATTCCCAAGGTGCCAAGCATGATACAGTGACTGATACCTTGTTCCACATGAACTAAAGCTACAAGACAAATTTAGCAAATAGAAAACAATGCAAAACAGTTGGCAGGATTTGGAACACTGAAATTGAGACCACGTGCAGGGGAGATCAATGTCTATTCCCAATAAGCTCAGATTTTTACCAAAATTTTAACATAACAGCAAAAATCAAACAAGTAATTGAGATTAATTTACACAAAACAGACATCACTAGCAAACAAAATAAATTCCAAATTGACCATTTGTGCGGATGTAGGAACAAAAATCTATGCAGATCGTAGTTTCCCATAAGTTTACGAACACCGATAATTTAAAGTTCATATGGGACTTTTCACATGAATGAATGCATAAAACCATAGATGTTCTGCTTTGTCAGATTTTGTCCCTAAATTCACCAACACAGCAGATTTTATGAGCAACCCACATAAAAAACAAACTTATAAAATTGATATTTATTCAAAAAGCAAACCGCACAATTCACAAATGCAGCCAATTTTTTCAACAGACCAAATTTCCCAGAAAATATGTTCATGGGAAAGGATCGATAAGTCAAAGAAAATTCGAAACACAAACCTCCAAAATAAACTGACAGATTATGAAACGGATCAAATTTTTAAAAATTACCTTTCCAGAAAATGGGTTTACGTAATAACCTAAACAACGGAAATGAGAAAATCGCAAGGTATAAGCATCCATACCTTCAAATTTCCTGCGAGGTCGCGAGATTTTGTCCTGAAATTTTGCTAAAACATTGTGATGTATTGTGTATTATTGCTATTGGAAAATTGGGAAAAAGGTAAAAGGAGGAAAAAAAAAGTGATTAATTAATAAAATAAAAAAGAATAGAGTAGGAGAAGGGGAAAAAAAGTGGAGGAAGTTTTCAAATTCAGTTTCAGTTAAAGCGACTTTGAGGAACGGAGACGAGGCAAGAGATCCGGCGGCGGTTGTTTTCGCGCCACCTAATTGTTTAATCAATTTATTACTTTGATTATTACCATACTTTATTTATACTTTTTGCCTTTTTTTTCAAAAACAAAAAGAAACATAAACATTTGCAAAATGAAAAAGACCTTTCCTTATTTTTTGTCATTGTTTTTGTTTATTTTCCTTGTATTTTTATGTTTCTTGTTATTAATATTATTTATTTGATTATATTTTAATAATTGGAGGCTCTTAATTAATATATTATATTTCGATTTATGTTTCATTCTCTTGGATAACCGATACATCCATAATTGTGATTTCACTTCATTCATATCCAACAAAAACAAAACACGAATAAAAATAATTTTGGAATAAGAATTTTCGTCCCAATATTAGGCAGGCCTTTATTGTTCAGTAGTAATCGTTTGGTAATTATAATTTTTTTTTACAACAAAATATGTATGTTATAGGTAGACTTATTTGTTCAATTATATTTTGGTAATTATAAATATTTTTTTCACAAATATACGTATGTTATAGGTAAACCTATTTATTCAATTAAATTTTAGATAGTAGTAGGCTAGGCTGATATTAGACAAACCTATGTACTCAATAATATTTTAGATAATCTATGTTGGTATAATAGTTTAGATAACTTATGTAGGTGTTAGTGTTATCGAAAGTTATATTTTTTTTTAACAAATATATTTTGGAGCCACACAAATTTATTTATTCAATCATATTTTAGATAGCCGTATGCTAAGATTAAACATCTATTCAATCAGATATTAAGTGAATTGTATGGTACTTCTTATAAGAATTCATTTTGTTACAAACAAATCCGTCTAACGGTTAGAAACGATAGTTTATGTTTAGATAATAGTGTAAAAGTATGTATTTTAAAGAGTGATGAATCTAATCGTTACCTACTCAAAACATAATGTTTGTTTATTCTAATTTGATAATTTTATCCTTATT